TATATATATATATATATATATATATATATATATATATATATATATATTTAAATGATATATATGTTATATATGTTATAGATTAATGCCCGATTCCACCATAGATTAATTTTAATCTTGATTTAACTTACTGTTCATCTTTTTCTAGTTCTAAGAATTAGAAAAAGCTAAAAAGCAAATTAAACCGAGATTAAAGTAAATCTACATTGGTGGAATCGGGCATTAATGTTCGGTTAATGATCTAAAGTTAATGATCTTTTAGTTAGATTAGTAAATTAGATTTTTATATTAATTTTATTCCTACTTTATTAAAATCTAATTTGATAATATCGCTTTCAAATTTGCTTCAAATTTCAAACTAAATTTATTTCGATTTTATGCATTTGTAAAGTACTTTTCTGTATTTAAATACTAGATATATAAAAAGATACATAGTAACAGAAAAAGTTCATAGATTTAACAAGGAATTATTTACGAGAATAGATATTAGTAGGATATGAGAGTAGATTATTGTTTCTTGATTAATGTTACATTTCTTTATATATACAGATTTCTATTTATTCTTGGGTCCGCACTCATCGCGTACATCACAAATATGTTGACACACATCTGGATCCTCACAATAGCCGACGTGGTTTTTTCTTTTGTCATATAGGCTGGCTTTTAAGAAAACACAACCCTGAAATCGTTGAAAAGTTACGTGAAACCGATATGCGAGACATCCTGACGGATCCAATCCTCGCCTTCCAAAAAAAGTAATAAGATTAACAAATCCGTCTTATATACTATACTCGTATTATATATGTTTATATTCTATACGAATTTTAACAAATTACGTAATAATTATAAACATATTAATGCAATTAATTTTTGGCAGATATCCCGGGTTGGTAAATTTGATATTTTCTTTCATCTTGCCTACTCTCGTACCAGTTTACTTCTGGAATGAAACTTGGAGCAGATCGTTCATATCACAAGTAATGCGAGTATTATTTGTATTGCATGCGAGCTTTTCTATAAACAGTTTCGCTCACATGTGGGGTTCCAAGCCGTATAATAAGTGAGTTCCTTAGAATAAATTTATCGGAATATATTCAATATTCCGATATGCATATATAGATGCATATTCAGAGTTCAAAAATAGTTTTTTGGACAATTTTTAAATGTAAAATTAATTTCTAGTTTTGTAAAGAAATGCAGAAAATATTTTGTTAAATAATATATTTTTCAAGTAATTTGAGATACGGCATTTAATGCTTGAAATTTTCAAATTTCTTTTACTGTCACAATTCTGATTTCTAGAAACATATGGCCAACGCAAAATATGGGTGTGAGTCTGGTTGTAACTGGCGAAGGTTTTCATAATTATCACCATGTATTTCCTTGGGACTACCGTGCATCTGAGTTCAGCTGGTATCTTTTGAATCACTCGGCGTTCTTTATCGACATGTTCGCGAAACTCGGATGGGCCTATAACCTTAGAAAACCGTCTCCCGAACTTGTGAAACAAATTGCCGACGACAAAGGTGACGGTTCTCGCGGTAAATGGGATGAAGTTCCACTGTGTGATGAAAAAGGTGTAGAAAATTAATTAGCAAATGCAACAAAAAAAAGTTAATTAAATTATGCGTCCTGCTGAACTACAGCAAAATTATTATATGTTGATCTATCATGATAAAAATCTATTTACACTTCTAAAACAAAATACAAATCATGAAAAAATAAATGTAACGTAAATTTATGAAGTATATAAAGTATTAAATTTAAAAAAACAAATATTTTGTAAATGGTTTTAATAATTAAAATACAAAAAAAAAGAGAGCAAAATATAAGAATATCAGAATATAGGAACAGAATATTAAAATTCATGTATGTTATATAGAAAAATATATAATATGCTTCTAAATAATTTTCACTATTCTCAAAACGTTTGATAAGGAAGCAAATTATATTATTGCTCCACGATAATATTATTTGTATTAGGTTATAGACAACACAAATACATAAAAATTATAAACATGCAATCGTAAAAAGAAATTTATTTCTGATATTAAAACCTGAAAAACATATTTCTACCTGTTATTACAGATTGTGTGCACAATTCGAAAAAGACATGCTATTCGAAGGCATAAATGTACAAGTAATATAACAGTTTCCAGAAGCATTTCATACTTTTTTTTAAGTAGGTAAAAAATTAATCAATTTTTCAATTTTTACATTTTTTTAGAGTATAATATTTTAATATTTTTTGCTAGAATTATAAGTCAGAATTCACAAAAATAAAAAAGTTTTGATTATCTCTTAATCTTGCTTAAAAGATGGATATTACAAGCAAGCTCGGCGTGACTGCATTCTTGCACTAATGTTAACAAAAACATTTGATGCATTCAGAATTTAATAACAAAGATGATTATAATACTCAGAAAAATAAAAAAGAAAAGAAAAATTTGAAATGCAATCATACAAGAACATCAAGAACGCATTAAATTCTATATTATTCTATTCTATTCTATACTTCTTTTTATTTTCTATTCTATTCTCCATGGAAATTATTATACTATTTGTACACCTGCGTCTGCGAGCGTCTTTTTTCCGAAACAATCTACACAAAATTTCGATGGCTTTAACATTTTCATTCTCAAAAAACTTCATAACATAGCGATACACAATAGTATTCAATACTGTTTTCCAGACATCATAACAATAACTTATTTATTTTCTTCTTTTTTTTCTTTTCATTCTTATTATTGATTGCGCAGAAGATCTCAAGATAGACAGTATAGGTTACGAAAATGGAAATTAATAAATATATAATATGACTCCAGGCGAAGGTCCATTTTAAAAATTTTAACGCGCTAAAAGTGGAACCTCAAGGGTGGTATGGAAATTCATTGTTATATGTTTTTAATTTCTTATTATATTTATATATTATATTTATAAAAATATTGTGCAAAATACTTTTCTTATAGAAAAATATAATTATGCAATTTTTCCATAAGAAGTATATTTGTAAAATATATTCAATCCAAGCAATTACCATGGATCGAAAATAGATTACAATAGATAACTCCTCTCATGATAAAAGGATGACACATTCATTAAGTTCACCCAATATATAAAACTAAACATGTATAGGTTTAGTTTTATACATACATACATGTTTTTTTAAATTTATATTAAACATACATGTTTAGTTTTATATACTGGGTGAACTTAATGATGGATGTGTCAACCTTTTATCATGGGAGGAATCTATTGTAATCTGTATGTATTTTCGATTCATGATGGTAATTGTTTGGATTGAATATATTTTAC